ATATTTCATACTTTTTTGCATTAATTTACGTTTCAAATGCTACAGAATTACGCCTTTTGACGTGGCAATTTTTCTCGATGTCCGTGTCATAATTAACTCATGTAATTGATACTAATAATGGCCATCGATTCATTATTTGATTGAAAATACGCATTCATAATTGCTATTTGAGTATTTGCATAAATTATAATGTTTAAAATCAAATACTTTTTTGCTTATTCAAATTTTTAGTGAAAATGAGCAAATAGAACTTTACCAAATTTGTTAGCAAATATGAATAACTATCATTTTTTTAATTCCTAATTTTTTCTTTGAATTACTTTAACTTTACGGTGATTATTATTGACCTTTGCATACCGGAATAGCAGTTCAAATTAGTACCAAATTCAAGGGGTTTTTTATTACTTTCCTTTTTTTGTAGTTAAAATTGAACACTTACGTTAATACACGCACATGCTTATTTTTCTGTTCAATTTTGAAATGCAAAAAGTTGGGTTATTTTGTAGATTTTGTGATCGAAATTGAAAATTACAGTCTGTCCTCATGCCCACTTCAATACAATTTCAGATTGTATTATTTAATTTGTTGTCTGAATTCAAATTACACTTTTTAAAATTCACATTGATCGTTTTCGATTACTTTTTGTTGACAGAAGTAGTACTTTTTCATATTCGGGGCTCACATTACAGTAATTTCATATTTTTGTTAATTATTTGAGTGGAATGATTTTTTGCTTTATTCGTATATTTTTACCAACAGACCAAATATTTTCAGTTTTGTATTCTACATATTCATATTCGTATTATCATTCTTCTGCTTATTATTATTACTTCTGTAATAATATTAGTAATATTATTACTATTATTATTGTTCATATTATTATTATCCATATTACAAACATTATTATTTATGTATTTATCCATTTATTTACTTATTTATTACTATAATTATATTATTGTTATTATTATTAATGTTGTAATTGTCATTGCTATAATAGTTATTACTACTACGACATTACTAATTATTATTTGCCAGCTTTGAATTAAAATATAGCAAAAGACTCTCTCCGAATATTTAAATATGTATATTTTTGTAACATTATTCTTCACTAAGCTCCACAATTTTCACGCTTTAATTTTAAAACTTTGGCAAGTTGCTTTGATATAAACTTTCAAGTAATACATGCAAGCTTAGTGTGTTTGTTTGAATAGATATTCATATGAAAACCTTATCACATTTTATTATCATAAATAGTCATGCAGAAGAATTCAGAAAGTTAAAGCAAATAGCTCATCTGCTAGAAATTGCTTTTAGCTTTTCGATAATGGAATTATTCGATGTTACACACAATTTATGATTAATACACGAGCTTTGCGTAGAGAATATTTCTGTTAAATGTATTCTATTTTATTGCAACTAAAACTTTCAAACTACTTTTGATGCCAGTATGTACATCTATCTATCTATCTATCTATCTCTTCTCTTGCAGGTAGATATGTTTCTGCAGTAATCCAGATAATTTTTAATCTAATTCAGCTATTTTTTGCCTTTCAACAACACTTCAGATTCTTTTAATATGCTTCTCGCTAATATTATTTATTAGAATTTGGATAATCTAAAGTTTGAATTGGATTAATAAAGTGATTCACAATCAGTCAGTTAACAACTGACTACTCTTGTCCATCTCTTACACTGAATTTGTTGGTAGTAATAAGTCATCGAAACTATTTTTTCTATCTATTTGAATTCTGCTAGTAATTTTGATAAACAAAATAATATGTGATTCATCAAAAAATGCTCGAACGAAAGCTATTCAAATAACACACTTGCTACGAGAAAAAAACAAGTGAATGATTGGAAAACGACAGAACAAATCAACTTTTAAATTATTCTCTTCATTGGTATGTACGTGTACGTGAGTAGTCACAATTGTTTGTGACTGATTACGTTTACGTACTTAATGTATATACGTACTCATGTATTTATTCACGCTAATTAATCAATTCATTGCTGATGAATTAGCTTAAGTAAATATGTATGTCTTATTTTGATTATACAAAAAAGAGATATTTTAAAGTGGGACTTGAAGTTTCACTCGAACATTTGACATTTGAACTTTGCATTTCAATATTTCACACTGAATGTAAAGCTGCAGTGTATTTTATAATGCAAAAAAAAAAAACGAAAAAAGTTATTGTACTGTCAATTTGCAAGTCATTATACTAATATTTCTTGTTTAGGCAATTCTTGTGCAGTCTTTACAACGCGAACTTTTTGATGACCTCAACCGATAACAGTCTTCTGCTCAGTTGACCTTTTTTAATTTGTTGTTATAACTGAACCCTTTCACTTGAATTTTTCTCCGCTAACCGATAAGAATTTTCTACTTAGTTGATTCTTTCCAATTCATTTATTCCCATGTGATATAGAATTTCATACATTATTGTAGAAGAGCCAAACTGATATTTTTTCAGTTTGGCTTTTGTCGAATTATTTTTCCTCAGCTGACCTTTTTTCAAATGACTATTTTGGAATTGACCTTTCTTTAAATGAACTATTACATGATTTTGGAATAAAAAACAAAGAAACAAATAATATAGAAGATGGAAATACCAGACAAAACTCTTAAAAACACTACAGCAAAGCCAAACTTTGAATCTCTATCCTGTATGCAATTAATCATTTAGTTTTGAGTCACTAAGAAAGAAGAAAAAGCTTTTTCTGTGACAGAATCTATCTAAAACTGACCCATTAACGTGATGTTATCATGATAATACTATACTCTTTCTCACTACGAAATAATGAACTACGTAATAAAATACAACATATATTAGCAGAAACCTAATTACTGCATGACTACTAACTGCTTCTGAAACACCAAAACACCGTGAAGCAACAAACATCATATGAAGTAAGCACAATAATCAGTACTTGATAAATTAATGAAGCTGCTCGATACTTTTCATAGCGGGACAGTAAGTTGTTGTATTTTACAGCACTAAATGCTTCAGCTCTCATTTTAATGATTGCTTTACAGTGTTGCTTCTCATTTACTATCCTTAAATATAAGTAATAATAATAGTAGTAGTAATAGTAGAGTCATACTTAACAAGTATTAACTCTTAACATGTTGCCAAAGTATCACCCTAATCTTGTATATAAGTGAACAAAAATAGATTATTTTCTGTCTGAGTCACATTTCAATTGCTCAATTTGATGTTACAAATCTTTCATATGCACATCTTAAACATATTATGCCATGAACACATGTACAGTAACTAGCTAAACACATTATATTATTGTACATAAGTTTTCCAGTATTTTATGACTTTCTCATGGTAACGTACTGTATTCTTACTGAACATATTGCTTGTTATTTTTGCTTGAAAGCATAATGAAGACTTTTCTTTAGAGATTTGCTTACTACAGTCCTGGTTTGCATGCGTTACTCAGAAAAGGTGAAAATCTGATAGTATTTCGTTCATGTCTGCACCTTCACGGCAAATTAAATGTGTTGTGGTTGGTGATGGTACTGTAGGCAAAACATGTATGTTGATATCGTACACGACGGATTCATTTCCCGTAGAATATGTCCCTACAGTGTTAGCTTATTTATCATTCATACTTTGTGTTACTGTGTAAAAAGGCTTTTTATTAGTTTAAAAAATAAATGAATTTCCTTTTTGGATTGCTTTAAAATTTTGATTTCTTGCATTTTTTTAAATAGAAGTTAGCAATCAGTAACCTTCATAGTTCTGATAATAAATAACTACAAAAATATAATCGCAGGAAGCAGTCAGTAGTTTATTTTTCAAAACACTTCTTGAGAAAATATCTCTCTATTAGTATACAAGTTCTAATTAAAAAATCTGTTCAGTTAAGGTCAGAACATTATGAACAATAAGTTTGATGACATGTAAACGTTTTTATATTGTAGTGATAGTCACTAAAAATTTGGTTGTTTATTATTTTCGGTGAATACTCTCTAGCTGCAATAGCAATTATTTTCAGATTTGATAATTTCTCAGCACAGATGATTGTTGATGGACACGCCGTCAATCTAGGCTTGTGGGATACTGCTGGACAAGTTGGTTGCATTATAATTTTCTGCATGGTCATAATTTTATCATTATTCATAGGTATGAATGATGATAATAATGAATAATTTGTAGGAAGATTATGATCGTCTACGGCCACTAAGTTATCCTCAAACTGATGTCTTTGTTTTGTGCTTCAGTATAGTTGCTCCTGTATCTTTTGATAATGTGATTACTAAGTGGATACCAGAAATTCGTCATAATTGCCCAGATGCGCCAATACTTTTAATAGGTTATTTACTATATTGTACAATAGGAATGGCTTTATTTTTATCTACATTGTCTTCTTATTATCATTGTATAGTTCATGAATGAATTTTCTGAATGTACTCAGCATAGTATATTTTAAAATGTTTTAGGAACAAAGCTGGACTTACGAGATGATCCAGAAACATTAAGGATTCTGAATGCTGATGGGAAGCAGCCAGTGACTAAGAACCAAGGACAGAAAGTTGCTAGACGAATTAAAGCAGTTAAATATCTTGAATGTAGCGCTTTAACACAGCAAGGCTTGAAAACAGTGAGAGACTTTCCTTACTTCATCTCTTGCTATATTAGTATCGTTATACATTTGTTAATGATTTGGGTGCTCCTTTTAACACAAGCACATTATTATCACTGAATGCAAATTTGTCGATATCTCGCTAATCTTACATAGATGTTTCCGATACCAGTTTCGTGAGAAATTACGTATTTGACGGAATATCTTACTATTTTGGTATTATTAAAACTCTCATCTGTAGTTGATTTCAATTCATTTGTTTTGAAAGCATGATTCAGTAAGAAGAAAATAATTTTTAGAATTAATCATATTCATTTCTATGAGTTGATCTTACAGGTTTTTGAAGAAGCTGTGCGAGCAGTTATAGCGCCAAAACCTACGGGCAAAAATAAAAATTGTACGATTTTGTAGCACTGCTCTTTTCGCCCTCAAACATATCGAGTGGTGTCAATTTCGATAGATTCTTGAATCAGTGATTTTGAAATAGGTGCCAAAATTTTTAATTTCTTTATCTCTGATTAAAAAATAAATCAGATTTGAATTCAGATTATAAATCATTCTATATAATGACTTCTGATATGCCTTATCAGTTGTATCGTTTTGTGGTTAGTTGCGAAAAAGTTGTCTTCTTAAACTAAATCTAAGTTTTTAAAAAATATTCTAAATTATCAGGAATCATTTATTTGTGCTTGAATTCTGACAGTAATAAATACAGAATAGCGCTTTCATGGAAGCTTATATATTTTGTCTTCATAACATTTTGGGATTCTTTAAATATATTAGTTGTAAAACGAATTTACTGAAATATATCGTAAAATTATGTCTGTGCTACGATTTAGATGATTTAGCGATGCAAGTTAATTCATATTGAATTAAAATCTTTCGTCTTATTTGCATTTCTTATACCATCTCATTTTATGTATGCATTTGATGCTACGTAAGGACGTACCACATCTTTGGTTTTATACGAAATTTTTGCTTTTATTGGCAAAACCACTTTAGGTTTTCATTTTACTGCACGACTTATTACATCTCTACCATCGTATTAAACTGTTTTCATTTTTTCCTTTCGTCTGTGCGCTTCTTCAATGCTTTACTTTTCATTACACCTTTAATAAGAAATTAATTTAAGAAACGTCATACTCACTTCATTCTGTTAAAATATCACCTTCACAATTGATCTTTGGTGTTGCTCATCGGTCACATTTATTTAGATTTTCATACATACTTTGATTCTGCACAGTTTCCAAAAATCACTAGGTAAAGATTTCGAGAATACATGTATTTCGATCATTTTCAAATATGACGTGTATGAGATCTTACCGATGTTAACGACGATTGTATGTCAATCTCATATTAATCATCCTACTCCAGCTCATCCTGCTTCACTTCATTTTTATGCCGACTTTTACATTTCTGTCACAAGTTCTCTATGATGTAAAAATTTCTGCAATTTTGTCAGTAACAATTCTGTATAGATATTGTCATGTGTCAAACACAATTATTAAACACTAACTCGCTTGATCTAGAACAATTAAAGAGATTTACCAACTTTCTTAGCCACCATGTAATTTCTTAGTGAAATGAAAAATACAAAGTCGTATTCACTAAATTTCGAGCTTTTGCATCATTATCATCTACAACAGAACAACGAGATCGCAGCTCTACATACCCTAAACCAGTTTAAGGCGCGTGGATTGGATCCTGATGCTCAAATTTACATTCAAATAAATGAACAACTGATAACATTTTCTAATTTACTTTTCAAAATAAAAATACGCCATCAAGTACATAGATGTTTGAAACAAATGAAGAAAGACAATATAGTTTGCGTGCAAAACACAACAAACAACTTTCACTAGATTAAAGTTCCAGGCATAAAAATAACGAGAAGCAAGCCTGAGGCGGTAATGACTAAGGACAATTATTGATTCGCGTAAATTAAAGCTCAATTATAAACTAAAGGCAGCAAATGCACCATTTATTCCCTTCAAAATCAACAAAAAAACCAAAAAAGGTTAAGATCGGTAGCAATTTTCGTACAGATAACCGGAGTCTCAAAAGCAAATCCCCTAGCTCTTTAAGTTGCACATGTTATCGCAATAAAGATCTTCAAACTTCAAAAGAAATATTTACGTAAGAATTATCTATAGGACTTCATCCACTCAAAGGAAATAGTCAGGGGTTTGTCGAACAACGTTCGTTTCCGATTTTCTTGGTGCTGGATCAAACTGCAAAAATGAATACCGCAGTTCGTCATCTAGTTCAACTATTGCAGCTTGATTCGCGCAACGATAACAGTAATTTGGTGCCGAGAATACTGTTACTACGTTACGATCATGACTCCAATTATAACCCTGCAAAATTTGAGCTTTTTTAATCCAGTTGTAAAACCGATCATGTTTCATAGCTTATATGAAAAATTACTAGCAAACCAATAATGCTAAGTTTTATTTTTGAATGGAGTACTATGCATTTTTTAGATATCAACAATAAATCTACTCTGATCAAAAAATTATGCACGAATGATTCCTTCCTGCTGTAAGAAAAATTATGGAAAAAACGTAAAACAATTTTTTTGCTTGTAGTTGACCTTACAATAATGCCTAAATTGTACATAAGAGAACATTACTCGTTAGAAAATGCACATACTTCCATGACAAGCTGATGAGCACGAGAAATTAGGGTAAGACTATTGCCATGGTTGAATGTTTCAGATATATCTTGACCAAAGGTATATCCAGCACCTCGTGGTGAGATACCCCAACCTCCGCGGTCATCTGGATCTGACCATAGCAAATCACACATTGGCCCTACAATATATTATTAACAGAATTCCTATATTCTGCACGCAAAAATAACTTTGAAAAAAAAAATTGCGAAAATACCTTCGTGAGGCACTTCTTGAAGCCTATCAAGTGAACGAATGTGATCTAAACTGTCAATAGATGGTGAGAGACCACCATGTAAGCAAAATATCTGCCCATCAACAAGAGCTGTCAAAGGAAGATAATCGAACAGATCTGTGAAGTGTTTCCAAACATTAGAATTACCATATTTACGCAAACACTCGTCATAAAATCCATAAACCTGAAACCACTTCATTTTTTTCAGATTGAATTTAAATTATTTGCTAGGAAAAACTACATCAATTGTACAATAAGCTTTTGCATCCCAAGTACAATAGTAAACTGTAAGCTTTAAATGCAAAATATTTCACAATACCTGAGTAATCTGACGTGATTCATGGTTCCCACGCAAGATGGTAACACGCTCCTTGTAACGTACCTGTAATATAAGCAATACTGTCATTGGAAATATAATTTGACGAATGAAATTATACGAACCTCGACTGATGCAAGATATAAATGTTCTTAAAAACAACCTTTAAGCATACTAGTAGTGTGACAGTTTCGACGGAATGGTATCCCCTATCGACGTAGTCACCCATAAACAGGTAATTGGTGTCAGGAGCTTTCCCACCCATTTTAAAAAGCTCTAATAAGTCATGAAATTGTCCATGAACATCACCACACACTGTTACAGGACATTTCACCTCTTGAACATTGGATTCCTTTTGAAGTATTTCCTTTGCCTATATAAAAAATAATTTTGAGTTTTTGACGTTCTTTCGAGATCCTCTAATTAAATTAAGTGATAGACAATGCACATGATTTCTTTTCACTACATAATCACCGATTTTTAGAGACTAAAAGTATGAACAATTCTTCCCAGTGAAATAACAAAGGCTATATGCGACCAACAGCCACTTGTAAAAGGCCAAAAAATCAATACGAGGACTGCATCAGTAACCCAAGAATATCAGAAACTTCTAGTTGCAACTAATATTATTTGCAACTTTAATGCTTTTCTTTCCATTACTTCTACATCAGAAACATAAACTGTTTCACAGATATTTCAAAAATTTTTTTAGCTAAAATGCAATGACCGTTTTTGATTCAAAAAAGATTACTACAAATAATTTTCGTCAGAACCTCTAACAGTATTTATTTCCTAAGGTGAAAAAACAACAGCAATAAAAGCACTACTACGCTACTACGCAGTCATTTAATTGTTTGATTCTATTCCTGATTTTTCCAATAGCAATTTTTTGCGTTTTTTAAATCAGACAGTACACTAAACTAATTAGTTTAATTTTCAATAAGACAACTGATATCGATACATGGTACAGGAACAATCGTGATAAGCATGTTACACCAAGTATTTCAAACATCCAGAGACTATATTTAGTTTACTCCCTAAATCTATTAGTTCAATATGAATAAGGCTGCTTTATCCCTATAAAGAAATTCAAAGTTAATTTTCGAATGATCATGAAATACTGTCAATCTCCTCCATAACAAATATGACGAAGAATTCAAAACGAACCTTTTCGCACAATATTTTCACTTGCATCTCAGAGAGTTGCTCACAGTTATACAACTTCTCAATCCACTGATCTAATTCCTTCAAAGTAGACCGTTGTATCGTATCACCAGCAGATGCGGATGGAACAGCCAGAATATTTTTCGGAGGTGAGTCCATGGTTTTCCTGAACTACCTGAAAATAATTTGATAGTTACCAAGACAATTACAAAGTGAAAGGTAGGAAAGAAAACTATAATGTACTGAATTACAGTTACAGCTACTATTGTTAAATAATAGTGAACTATACAAATAAAATATCATTTTAAACTATACTAATCTAATTAAATAATACTAAAGCTTTATTATCTAATTAAATAACTCTGTCAAGATATGAATAAGCAAACATTAAGCCTACTAGACTGGGCATCTGAAACAACAATCCATATGAAAATTTGTGTTTGCACTCTTAATTTTTATTCACTGTAAAAATTATTTTATTGTCACCAATTTCGACAGATTAAAATTATATAATAAAGCTTTAGTATTAAAAAAGACTTTCAAAAGAGACAACTATAGAAGCAAAAACCACCAAGTAGAACAAATATATTCGCAAAATTTTCTATCGAAGTAAAAACACGTTGATAGGGTGCGGTTGAAGAGGGGACAAAGAAGCTTTCAAATGAATTGAACTACTCAGAGTACGCTAAGTGACCAATATTTCTAACGTATTGTAACAGCTAATCTTCATATTCTAATTAAATGATTAAAAAATGTTGGTTATTTTACCATAATAACGAATGAGCATAAATGGAATTTGAGTCTTATAAAAAATTGTAGAAACTAAGTAATGTTCAACAAGCCAGACATAGTGGACACTATAAACGTAACAGAGTGGTTCTTAACATTTAACTAATGAAGTATATAACACGCATGAAGAATTTTTAGCTAAAGAAAATCATAAAGCGCATGATAAAACCTTGTAAAGAGTGAAAAGGAGATAATTTTATCAGACAAATCTCAACATTCCAACTTAATTATATTTCATACGATCATTTACTATTCCGAATAGTTTGCTTAACGATTGATCATCCCAAACTTGCATACTACAATTTCATCAGCAAGCAGCAAGTTACGAAAAAGAGAAAACGTAAAAATCCAAGTATTAGACGTAAAACTAAAATAGAGGTCAGATGGACACGTTAGCGAAAACCTAGTAGTACGAATGAAAAGTATTGAAATATCTAAAAGCAACCCTCCCGCCGACTCTTCTATTGAACATGCAATCGATAAATTGTAATGCTGCGAAAGAGAGAATTCGTTGCAGGACCCAAATATTAGGTAACAATTTATTTAAGGAATATATTTATTCAAAGGTCATTGAAGAAGGACTTATACTTGCGTATAGTTACTTAAGCACTATAATCAATTTTTTAGAACTGATTGAGTTTCAGGATATACTCGTGTGAGCTGAAGGACTGCTGGGAACTGAAGGACTGAGCTCGATCTCGAGTATAGTCGTCTTTCTAGACAGCGAATCTGAAGATTCAATGAAATTAGCACAGTAAACAAGAAACACGAACATACAGTCATAAGATAGTTTTATAACCGTAATCGGCGATTTTTTGCAAAGCTTTTCTTACAAAGGAAAGATACTGTATACCGTAATCGACCTCTTTGTTTTACCGCAATCGGGCTATTGCATCATATATTGCTTCCTGTTTATATCTCTTCGCGCAATCAGATTTTTTGGTATTACGGTATACAATCTGCAAGGCAAAGAATTAAGTGACTTGTGTACAGACGAAGATAGCTATTTGTAATTTTTGAAAAAAAAAAGTCATTGCAACGTATCTTTCAGTTATTCATAGTAGAATACAACTTTTGTATTTTGTTTTTATTTTCTGACTTTGCCCGTGACATTACCATCAGCCGAAGCAGTACTGTAATTTTTTTGCAAACAAAAAGTTTATAAAAAAGTAAAATTATGCTGTCACTTTTATTAGCGATAAATACTTCTGGAATGCAATGACACCAAAGCGCATCTACACTTAATTAAGATTAAACTTCTTAGTTACTCAAACTTTAAATGAATATATTATTCGAAGAGATATTGAATGCTAATGACCAGTAATGTTGACCTTTGCATAGTAAAATATGCTTATTCTGAAAAGTCTGACATACAGTAATTGAAATAGTAGTAACCAAAAGCAAATGGTTACTCGTTATGCGTGCGTATTCATCTCTTAGTAATAATTAAAATTACTCCTTAAATTTTGTATTGCTTTTAATATCTCCAAAATTACTCTATAGCGTGAAAAAAAGATTAATCAAGTGTAATGAATTATTGCATTACTATGATAATAAACTTCAAAAATAAGACTAAATAAGCAGAATGTCAGAAAATTTGCATAAAATATTATACATTTGCTGATGAAAAGCTAACATCTTTGAGTCTGTGAATATTACTTCATATCTTTGTTCATATTCGTTTTCACTTCATTTTATCAAATAATTTAATTATTAAAAATTCATCCGAAGAAAATAATCACTAAAAAATAATAATCATTTGAGGTTATTTTACAATTAGTGCAGTTACAAAATCTCACTTTGAAATCATGATTTTGTAGGTTCTTATAATGTAAATTAACGAAAGTAAATTTGTTTATGATATTTGATTCAATTTTGTTGCAAAAATTTTGTTTCACAAAAACTTAATACTGCTGTATTATATTCTTACAGTACTTTTCAGTACTTTTAGTGGTGGTTTGTAAATTTTAACTTATTTGAGAATGACTATTTAATTAATAAAGTTGATAATGGATGAACCTTCTATATGGCCTTATTAATCAAGCACATTAGTTTCTAATCACTTGACTTATACGATCTAGAAATTTGCATTATGTGCATGATTTTTTAAGCTACTTTGTAGCAAATTTTTATGAATTAACTTGCACATAATAATGTCTTTCAGCTTTCGATGCTTTCAGATCAGTTATGCATGATCTGGAATCTAAATCACTCACAAACATATTTTTAGCTCAAAAAAAGAATTGAACTAGTTCATGAAACAACATGATTTATGCATCACACAAAGGTCAATTTGATCAGAGTGTCTAATGTCAAATGTATGAATTTGAAACTGTTGGCAAGTATACAATTCAAATATTTTCTCATTTGTAATAAATTTGTTATGATAATAATACTTGCTTTGGGATTCTCTTCAACTAAATTCTGATAATTCTCTCCCAGGGAAGAGATCAACTCAAATAGACGACGCTTGCCAAAGGCTAAAAATATACAGAAACTTGTAAGTTAA